AGCTTTGATTTTAGGGGGTGCTGCAACTAATTAATTTACGTATTTATATAATGTGTCTCATGTTATTTTGAAGAATAAAGTATTATTATTATTATTATATTATTATATATAAAAAAAAAAAATAATAATAATAATAATAATAATATACAGATCGTGGAAATATAATTACTGTGTTTTGTTAAGGCGTCTCACATATTACTATTTTTATTTTCAAATTAATATAAGTAATGTTTTATTTACTTTTAAAATGTGCATACTGAAGTGTTTTCTCGGCAAACGAAAACCATCCTGTGTTGGCTGGTTGTTGTACATTTGTCTGGGGAATGAAAAACGAACAAGCCCATTTCGAACGGTGTAATATTGTACGCTGCCACTCTGCGAGTACAAAACGGTCGTACATTGGTCCACCAGTATAATATGATTGAACATTTGGAACCAAACTGAAACCTCAGCAGTATGCCAGTATATAGGTCCATAATTCATAAATGTCCCCAGCCGTCAACGTATATTATAATATCCGTCGTTGTGGATAGGACGCAGCATATAAATTAATTACCGACGTGAAATATTCGATGATCCGATGTCAAACTCGATTCGTCCGAACTTTTACAGATCTCCCATATTATTATGTCTAGTACCGGTTGCGCTGGTTAGTTAATAAATTAATATGTATATAAATTAGATGTATATATATATATATATATTAAATGAACTTCATAAGGACGGAGGGACGGTGTTGTAATTATTTTTATAACTGTTGTAAGTCGCAAGACGATTTCTGCATAATATTGTAGTAATGCCAGCTATGATGTTTTTGTAAAGCGAAAACATCCGAAAAGCTTTTTCTAATCTACTTTTACACAGTGACGGAGGTCTCGGGCATTAAACCACCGTCAGCTGGACACGTAAACTGCATTTTGAACACTTGTTTATGCTGTCCGTGTATAATAACTTTAATCTCAGTTGATTCCGTGTGAGGATAGCTGAGAGTGTCAACCGTAGTGGGCTATAAGACACTGAATTATACGCGACTATAAACGACACGATATGGAAGTAATAATAATAATAATAATAATATATGGCCGAGAAAAAATACAAATATTGTTTCGAGTTGGTCTCGTATGTTTATCTGAAAACCTGAGCTATCGAACGTTTTGACGTTTTTCCCCGTCGACGATTTTTCATTGTTTAACAAAACCACGTATTTTCCAAACGGTCATAATGCAGTTTGATGTAATATATTCAAAACCGTTTTTATTTAAATTATACTGTTTATTTATACTTATTTTATGCCGTCTTACCGTATTCTACGTTCGGCAGCTGTGTATCACATATGATTATTACTATTATGACGACAATATAATATTATAATACACATTCGCAGTCCACAATAATTTCACTGTACGCAAAAATAACTCTCATTGTCCGTACCGAACGTCTTGTCGGAAAATGTAAATGTCTCGTTGACGTTTTTCTTTCTTTCGTTTTTTACGTGACGTGCACCCCTTACAACCACTTCTGCACCCATCGTCCACCCCACCACCCGTACCCTCCACCGAGGCAGCCTATATACACTAAGGTTTATCGCAATCTCTGTATACCGTACGTGCAGACAGTCGGCCAGACGACCGGACGTCTGCAAGCCGGTCGGTCGGCCGTGCGACATTTTTCAATTATTGTTTATGTTACGTACGTATATATAATACATACGTCCCAATAAATTATAATATATTATGTTAAATATTATTATGATGATAATAGAATTATTATTATTATTATTATTATTATTATTACTGTACATGTTTAGTCACGATTTTCCATACGACGATGACTTGGAAGGCGATAACTGCGTGCAACCCATCTAATAACTATTATTATTATTATTATGGTTATTTATTATGACTACAAATTATTTTACACCGTCAAACAAATCGTTGAAGGGGTCCCATATAAATCAACCACTTTCCCACCCCTTGCAATAGGGATGGAGGTAGATCTCCCGAGCATCTTTTTTTATTTTTATTTTTCATTAGGTACTACGAATAATGTAAATATTAATTTTCATTAATAATAATTGTAATAGTTTTACGATGGCAGACAAACTGGAGATACATTTTCCTTATCACAGAAGTAATACCAACATCTATTTGGGCTGGTGTTTATTACAATGACAGAGTTACATCGATACAAATCATAAATTATATCAATAACTTAGATTCAAAAATTAGATTCATACAAACTAAATCACACTGTTGCTGTATGTTATCAAATCAAACAATAATATTTAGAATATTCTTATAACATCTCTCAAAATCCATGAACCCAAGAGTATGGCTGTCTATTTAAACCAGAGCACTGGTCACGTACGTGCACTGGTCAATACTATAGTGAAATAAAGTCGTCTATTAGCCATTAAACTGTAGTGAATTACAGAAAAAATAAATACATTTTCAATCATATTTGTGACTCTCGACAAGCATACAAGGATGTGTGCCTTATAGGTATGCGTTGCATTATTTTTTATTCTTTTATTTTTTTTTTCGATGGCCAAGTAGTCTTTCTTAACTCAAATAATATTATACATTATAATACAATAATAATTTATTCGTTTTTATAAAATGTGTACAGGTGCTATCTTAAATGTTATATTTCTAGTCTTGTGAGATGCTTAGTAGGGAGCCCAGTTCAACTTGTGAAATTTTCTAAATACCCGTACTTATTTACTATATAGTACGCCTATATATGTATATGACCTAGCTGTCAATAAGATAAAAAAATATGACTATACATAAGTTAGCCGTATACCTTCAACGCCGGGGGCTCGACTTGTACATCATAATAATTTCAAGTTTACAAACCGAAACCGCACTTGTACTGAATGAGGACCCAACTAAAATAATAGCTATAATATAGTATTCACCTCGCAGTGACCTCCCGCCCGTGCACAGCGACTCTTAGAATAGGAAAAAATGATGTTGTTGGCCAGAACGGATTCCTATAATTACGCAAAGACACTGCTCAGGTTTCTCGGGCAACTCCAAACTAGGAGTGTAAACTTTAAGATTTAATGCCTACAGGGACTTAATGCCCCACTTGGCAGTGCCAACTGTATGCGATGTCACGGTGAACGAGTGCAACGCTTTCGCATCCCAAGCAGCTTTTCCTGTCGATTCCTGTCCGTCTCCTGACCCGTATCCAATTAAAATTACTCCAATTTTACGTACAATGATTTCGAAGACGCCAATTACGATTTTCTTGCGATGGACTTTCGAGAACGCGACCAACCGGAACCGCCGGTCGCCGGAGCACCTTGCAAGATAATAATATAAGTACCTGTACACGTCCCGCGTTCACCGAAATTTAATTGCCCGTAAAAGTTGTTTACGAGCAGGCAGTGAATTTTGTAATTTCCTGTGCAGACTAAGTTGTTATAAAATATGATAGCTTTTTTTTTTTTTATTAAACTTTTTACTTTTAGACAAATTTGTTTTTTCTACTCGTTTAAAAACACATTTTTTTAATATATACTATACATCAAGCAGAACCAAACACAATCACTATACCTATTTTAATACTTATTTAATCTAAAATATACATTTATGATTAAATTTATCGGAGTACAAAATATAAAATTTCTCACAAAAATGATCATTAAAATTTGATATTATAGCTGATATATATATATATAATATGCATACACAGTCAGTCCTTTTTCAATCCCACTCATTATTCACATTGCAAATTAATCTACCCACCTAAATAACCTTTAGCGCATCTGCTTATAGTTTTAAATTAAAGTCTAAAATAAAACTTAAATTATAATACGCTAAGACGCTAAGCATTATACACTGATCGCCAGGGATGTCCTTCGGATTTGCGAGGCCAAGGGAAAAAAATTGCTCAGTCTAATATAAATGTCTATTTAAAATATCCACTTATTTTTACTGAGTATTAGTTGAATCAAAACTAATGAACTTCAGAAGAATTAAATATTTATATACACAGGTACTAATATCTTCGGTAGAGGTAGAAAAAATAGTTTAGTCTTTGAATTATACAAAAATAGTCATAGCAGCTATGATGGGTCATACCATTTCTCCACGAAGCAAATTATGATTATAAATAGTGCACAGAACAAAATAAGCTCTAAGGTCTTCTGAAGGTATTTTTGAACCACTTTGTTTTTCCTATCATATTTAACCACATTATCGTTAGCTTGAGTGCTTGACCGTGGTACCTAATTATTAACTTATGATTTACATTATATTACTATATATAATGCGTAGGTAGGTACCATTATTGGGCTTTATTTTCAAGAAATCTTTCCGTTATTTCTCTTTGAAACAAAATGCTTGAAAGTCTTTTAAATGTTATGAAATAATATAATTATTATATTATTATATTATTTTTGATATTCCTCTTTTTTTTTTACCCCAAATCTAAACACTTCGAGGGCACTCGAAGAACGGTCCTTATCGTCACTAAATCAATAAGATTAGCTTTCAAGCCTATGTCAGTGAGTTTTCTTGATTGATATTTGTGTACTTAACTCGGTCGTCTTACTCCATACAGTTGATGACGTAATACTCACTTTTCACGCGCACCCTCAACTACGTATCTATTACCGTCATCGCATTTCTAATCATTTGTAATAAACAGTATGCAATAAAAAACTCGTATACAATTTTATTTTTATAACACATAATAAATGAATGGGACAATATGGGCTTAGTCAATAGTATATTATATTATATTTGTTTCAACCATATAATAACACAATGTTGCATTGTACACCTGTGACCTGCATGACAAATCAAACCACACACTGGAACAATACATGTACCGTATGACGTATAATGAATCATACCGCACTGAAAGAAGCAGAGATTTAAAATTTTTCCTTTTGTTTATTCTACTCAATTCATTATATTTCCATTGGTATCCCCAATCCCACCCCTTCGAATCGTAATTAAATAATATAAATATTGTATTTTTTTTAGTGCATTTACGGGTGCTATGTACATTCAGCGATACTTCCAACATTTCACAGAAGGTGTTACTGGTTATTGCAAGTGAGTGATCCATACTATTTCAACAACTATTGTTATTATTGTTTTATAATATATACTAGCTGATGCGTTGCTATTAATAAGTTTTTTTGACTATGCACGCAGTATATTATATCAGATAGGTAGGAAATCTGTCTGTTTTAGATTGATACGGACTCCGTTGGTGCGTACGCAAGTGAATAATTTAACTTAAAAGTATCAAAGTTATACAATCAATTAATACAAAATCCTAACCTAATCATACTAAAATCCTATTAGTAAAAAAAAAAACCAAACATTTGTGTGTATGGACAAAGAAGAAAAATTTAAAATAAGAAATAAAACAATGCAAAAAATTTAGTCCACCGAAACAGTGGTTCAAACTCTAGACCCCTGTTTAAATCCCTTGTTTGAGAACCTTCTCAGGTTGGATTTCTTATTTACCTTTTTCGAGACAAAATGTAGCCCATCTTTTTCCCCGTGGTCTAATCTATTCCTGTACCAAATTTCATAGCAATGGTTTAGGAATACATAAAGAACAAACATTTTATGTATTTTATTTTATAAAGTATTTTAAGACCTGCCCAAATCCCCACTTCCTCTATATCGTTAAAAAAAAAAATATTTTAAAAGAAACTGTTTGTTTTACTATTAATATGAATATTATTTTTGTTTTTTCAAAATACTTTTTAAATCGTCAATTAATATCCTTGAAAGTTACAAGTGATACTACAAAAGTATCTGAGTGAGGATTAAAAATACGCACGTTTTACTGATCTCAAGCAGATATTACAAAATTGGAAAATTCTGATTTCATTTGGATAAAATAACATCAATATATCAACAAACAATCACAGTCGTTTTTAGAATATACCTACTATAACAACAAAGAATTATTGTCACTGCGTTTTGAACATTATAATAATTGGCTTTTTTAAAACAATACGAATAACAATAACATCTTATATACGTCTGTATTAAAATGTGCAAAGTAAGTAAGGGGTACTCGAGGCACATTTTATTTCAATATAAACTGTAGCTACGTACTTATCGATTAGTTACGACAAAGCGTGTTAAAAATATAAGTTCTTATAAATCTTATAAAAACAATTTTTTATAACTCTGAAACCATAAAAATTTAAAAAAAAATGGAAATTCAACGCACGCGACAACAATGATACTTTTTTTTTATATATATAATTATACTATACCTAATACCTATGGTAATAATGTGTATCTAATTCCGGTTATCAATAGAACCCTGATATGGTGTTGGTGCACTATTTGAATGTACCGTATCCAGACGACAACAAATTATCGGTAATTTCGCCGAGCCTCGCACTGTGGGCTGATCGTAAAGAGTGGACGAAAGATGAATTACTATCTCAGTTGAAACCCATGTGTAAGTGGCCCATAGAATTTCATAGTATTTCGCATACTATCGTTGACTTATAAAGTTATTCCTTCATAGGGTAAAAAAATATCTTTTGTTTATTATTTTATTTTCAGTTTACGAGGAAGACCCTGACCTTAGCAACGAAATGGAAGTATCGGTAAGTACTTGTAGTGCTTCGAACAATATTAAATTGGGTCAACGAGCGCGTTTAAAATATAATAAACACCTCTTTACACGTAACATATAAAATGGCCAAGATACATTGTAACTGAACATATAAAATATTTGAATGTATGTACATTGTACAATGTATCTATTTAAATATATATTTTTTTTTTGTTTCTAAAATAATAAACAGATAATTATAATTTTATTTAAATGAAGAAACATTTCCATAATTGAATATTTAAAAAAATATAAGTAAGTATATTATCATGCACCACAGCCATATAATAACAAATTGTTATAATAGCTCCATTTTGGTTTTTTTCCATCGGTATAAAAAAAAATTCTCGTTATTTTTTTATTAAAAATTCTATAGAAAAACTACAATAGCATTAATAAATACTAAGAATTAACTTATATTATGTGTGTCATCTTAACCTATAATACTGTAAATTGTCTAAACTTACAGATCATAATAAATTTAACTTATTTAAACGAACCGACAAAAGTTATTGTAAATTGATAAAATGTTGTTGACCTTAATAGGTATTTTATTTTAAATATTTATTTGTATTTGTTGGTAACATATAATTCCTAATTTTAAAATTGTATTTTTATAAATTATTCCAATACCACTATCAACTGAGCATTTTCTATTCCTAGCTTACAAATATGTTTATTACTTAAGTAATATAAGTATGCATAAAAATAAATGCAGGTATCTACCAATTTAGTAAAATTTAAATAATTGTTTTCTTGCGATAATAACCATGAAAGATATTTACTTTCATATGTGAAAACAAAATTTATATCGTTGGTATAGTCAAGTTTGACAGTTAAATCATATTATAATATACTTACATATTTCTTATTTTGTAGTTAGACTAATTCATATTTTGTAAAAATACAAGACATTCCCAATTTCCTATGCATTTAATAATTTTTATTTAGTTTATAAAATCAAATGTCGATCTCCTTATACTATTCAATCAATCAGAAAAAATTTCTTTACTTGGACGTATGACTTATTTTAAATGGAACTCAGTTTTGGAAAGTGACGCTAATAGTGCAGTTTCATTAATCTAAAAAAAGGTTAATATTTACTTTGAAAAACTTTTGTTATTAATCTGGTTAGGTTACCTTAGCCATCAAATTAATTTTTTAACTTCTGGAAGAGAACTATATTTTTGAAACGTAATTTTAAAATATTTTATAGATAAACGGAATATGTTTAGGTATAATATAATATAATCAGAATGAATTTTATTAGTATCTATTCGACAAGCAATTAAAATACCATATTTTATAACTAAAAAATGTATTATACTTAAACGTCAAAATACATAACATAAAGATAAATAAAAACAACATTCTGAAATGAATAATCCTCATAATAAATCAGACTTTTAGTAATTTCATGATTCTTTTTACAAACTACAATGTTAATTCATTTTTTAAATTGTATAATGTTAAATGTTCTACAGCGAAATTCCCAGTCAAGTTATTGTGGCACAGTATAATATAATTTCGTATTATTATTATTATTATTATTATTTTTTTAAATAGCACACACAATTAAATATAAAACGAAAAGAGAATCAATATTATGCCTTTACTGTCTATTTACATAAAATATTGATCAAATGTTTAGCCTTAGCGTTTTATAAATGATACATTATGTCATTTCAGAAGTTTAAATTAAAATAAATTTACCAAATTTTTAAACTATGAATAGGTACTCAATATTCATATGTAATATATTTATCGTTGATGATTGCCAGTGCTAAAATGGCTTTTTTTAAGCTAATATTGAAACTATAAAATTAGTTACCCTAAAAATTCTCAGTTGGCTTGTTTGCTTAAATTTAAAACAATTTTACATTAATTTGAAGAATTTTGTAGTAACCAATAGGAATAAATTAATTTTCGCATAATGTATAATACAAATATTAATGCAAAGTTTCTTATATTATAGTTTTGATTAATGAATAAGCAATACTTTGAACATGCAAAATTGTAAAGAGATACATACATAAAATAAAAACTTATGCAGAAAAATCAATATACCTAACTGTTTATCGAAAAATCATGAATGCGCCTATCTAATGTTTATACTAATATCTATAGACTTACTTATATTTATTGAGATAGAAAAAATAGATGTTAGTGCTGGTGCGTAATAATTTGTGAATTTGTATGAGACTTAATATCTAAAAGTTAATAATATAATAGGTACCATTTAACATTTGGTTTGCTGCATAAAATGTTTGAAGAAATTAGATTTAATCGTATAACATGACATTAATAGTTCAAATGTCTAATCATTATATTGTAGGAAATAGCGTGTTATCGTTATAAAAACAGTTAAAATCAGTAAAAACAACTAGTCCATCATAATGCTGGTAATTTGCTAAAAAAAAATGCAATACTTGGATTTCTAGAAAAATAAAAACGAGTTTTTGGGTGCGAATTTGTGTTTTTTTTAAACCTTAATCTTATTAGATATAGTAAACGCATGAGTTGAAATGTTTGGATAATATAAAATTAAAATTGGCAAACATCTATAACACGTAATTCGAAACTATAAAAACAGATGTTGCGACGACCAAATGCATTCAACTTCTTTAAACTGATACAGTATAGACAAACAAATTACCGATATTATTTTATACTTGTATACAATACTTAACATGCAAATAACACAAAGTCGTCACATCAAACTTTTCAAATCTAAAATACGGCCGTTCTACTGCATGCATATTTTGAACTTTTAATATTGCTTTTCAAAGTTATCGTGAGTTTTTTTTCAGGAGCCATGTCATTAGCATACCTACATGTTTTACCTGACGTTATTGTACAATGTAAGATAACTTTTCTGAGATTTTAATTAGCGGAAAAAAATCATGGACACGATAAATTAAATTTTTTTAGTTTGTTTAATGTAATTTAAAACGTTATTATATTGCAATTTAGAAGAAAAAAAATTATACTGACATGTTTTTAAATTAATTTTAAAACTATACCTACAGATGAATATTGTAGGTACCTTCTATAATTATATATAGTTTATTATTCAATCATATTTGCATTTTACTAGGTACAGAGTTCATTGAGATTTTCATTTCCGACTTCGGTTTTGTTATTTTATTAAGTTAAATAGGTAAATTTGAAAATACAAACATTTAAAAAAAACAATATTATACAAACTTGGCATTCGTAAAATTTCAAAAATAAACTATATACATTTATGAACATCCAAATAAATAACCACCTATTTTTGTGTAAATAGTACAGGTACAGAAATTTCCCTCTGTTTATTCCAAGTCATTTTCTACAACAAAAGATAAATTGAATGATAATTGTTAATTTCAGTCGCAGACACTCATTTGCCTAATACTAATGAATTGACCATTGTGTATAAGTATAATGATTTGATGAATGAAATTTATGCAACCAGATGGTCTTAAACATGCCATCATCGGTGAAATGTCAAACGATTTGCATGAGGTCTCCTAGTTTCCTTGTATACAGTCTGTGTATACTGATGACCACCATGATTCCGGTTCGAACCCATCGCTTGAAATCTCGTATAGTGATTCAAATCTGGTGTACAATAAAGCTAGTATAAATTGAAATAATATTGTGATTACGGTGTTGTCCTTTGATGGCGTGACCTATATAATATTCTACGGGGCGTAGCACCGGGATTTACCATTTTTCTGTGTTGGTGGCCATATAAAAAAAAACAGTAACACGTTGTGGGCCACCCTATATTATATGCATAATAATACCTAATACCATATATCATGTACATCTATTCCCGAAATCTAACCCAACCAACTGATGTATTATTATACCACGTTGTCCGGTAGACGGCCGAATGCGTAGCCGCCATGGTCACACAGCTGATGGAGTGGCAGAAGAACGCCAGGGCGACTCTACTTAGCCGAACGCTGGAATGCGGATGTCCGGACTCCACGTGCGCGGACGGACAATCGTGCTCGCGCCCGATCAGACGGATTTCGCCGTCAGACAGCAATCAGGTGCGTGTTTTTATTAAATAAATACATTGGCGACGGTCCAGAAATAGGTCTGGATGTAAGAACAGTACATAGAAACAATAATATCACGTTCGTGGTCACTTCACATTTTACATTATTAATTTAGCCTCCACAGAAAATCACTCAGATTTTTAAAAAATCGACAAAAATTATTAAAAAATAGAATTTTATATTTATCTGTACCCAAACTTATGAGTGATCATAAATTATGATTCATAATAGGTCAGTCACATGTTTAGTTCCATTTAATATCATTGGAAATATTACTGCATGAGCAGAAATGCCCGATTTTGTGGTAAATTTGTAGTAGTTTTGTTGTAAATTACTGCTATAGCAGTATAGTGACCCATTACATTAGAATTGAAAAAAAATTAAATTACTGCTACTGACCACGAACGTGATATTATGGTTATCACTTATCATAATTTAATGATAAATTAATTTATTGTATAACGTCTACTTTGATTTGGATTGCTTAAAACCTGGTGACATCGCTTCGCAGGTGTCGTCGACAACTGGAAATCGATCGCGCCCCGGTACAATGTTACTCACCAACCACCACGTTAACTCGTCCAGGACCACGATGAACACGTTAATGATCGCTAATCACGTCAATCATAAGGTACGCAAGACGACAACTGACTTAGACCATTTCATTAGTTCATTCGTAAAAATCGAAAATACACTTTCGTTTTTACAGATTACCGTGAAACGCACTAATTTGAATTGTTTTTTTTTTTAAATTTGAGTTTCTAGTCTACATCGATTAAATTTAAAAACTATGCTAAAACAAGTCAACCCATAATGTTCATTAGATATAAATTCAATTTGGTTTTTGGTCACCAATATAATTTAGAAAAAAACAGTGCCTGTTTATGCCAACGATATTTAGTGAATATTAATATTCACTAAAAAAATATGATATTCAAATCATAATGTAGCATTATAATGTTAATGTAAAATACAAATTTCGATAACAGGCACAAAGTGGGCCAACCTCCTTGAACACCACATTGAACAACAACTTGTTGTCAAATTCCACGAGGGATTTTCGCAATCAACCACAACAACAGCAACCGCAACAACAACAAATAATTCTCAAGCACGATTGCGTAAGTATCTTATTCAGATCCGTTATTTTATGCTATGAGTGGTGACAAGAAAATACGTAATTGGGTTCACTTACAATGACACGAGTGTGTACATTTCGTATAACCCTGTATATCGATTGTAAAGTTGACACCACTAACTACATGAACTATACCTAGTTAAGTAGCACGTTTTGTTTTCGGGAAAATGACAAATATAAAACAAAATAAAATATGTGCATCTACCAAACTCTATATGACAATCGGTTTTTTACTATCCACTAAAAATTAAAATTACATCATAGTATGTATCTATTAAAAATATAAACTGTACCCAATTTGAGTGAAACGAATGCTTAGGCATTTAAAATAAATATACTTTTTTATATATATTAAATAATTCATGAAAATAGTTTTCATATTTAAAAAATTAAAATTATTTTAACATTAAGCTTAAACAATTACCAACATTGTTTAAAAGTTTTTAGTGCACATAGTATAGTAGAAAAATAATTTTTAACAGTTGAACTTCTAAACAAATAATTAGAAAATTATACTTGGTAATATATTTTTGTATTTTCATTGGTTACCTACTTCTAGTGTTAATAATATTTTTTCTTAGTAATAAAAACGATCAAAAAGTTCATTAAAAAAAAAAGGTCTTTTATAATTATTGTTTCTTAACAATTCTCGACTGTTGTTTAAGTTTTTATTATTTAAATATCTGCATAACAAACTATAATATTATAATAGTGATTTATTTTTTATTTATAGAGAGATAACAATCAAATATTAAACAACAGACAACCACCGATCAACGTGACGGACAATAATCACATTCCCACTACAATGATATCGTATAAGCCACAAGGTTCAGACGAAGTGATCCACGTGTATACCGAAAAACAAACGTATCACACTTCGCAAAATCAAGACGAGCACGCTGTACACTTGTTCCACGGACAAGATCATCTAAAACAACAGTCAGACCACGTAAAATCGGAATTCTATGATGTCACATTAGATTTGTCCCACGATGACATACAACAGACGCTTTCAGCCAATATGCCTGTCTCGTGTGCCAATGCTGATCAATTGCTACGGTATAATCATATAATTATTTGGACAATGATCTACACGCTTGACTTTACATATTTTTAATACCGTTTCATCACACATTTTTATATGGTGACCGATTTTCGATTCAGTACTATAGTTTCTTTGATACTCATTTCCTCAGTTAAAATAGGTATTTAACTTATTAAATTTTAAAATACTATGGACGATACCTATTTATTAATTAAGATGATAATACAGACTCGTGACATGGTTTTTTTTTAGTGGTGTTTTAGTTTTATATTTATATACCTATAACTTGTGAGGAATCATAGACTCTCCGTTGGAGTCATCAGTCTTCATAATAATAATATTAAATATTAAATAGAACCATAATGTTACGATAATATGCGTAGGTACTTTCTAAACGTCTGAAACGTATTTATTGTAAATACACTTTTGCATATATATGGCTGAGGATAGGCTGATGTTTAACACACAACTCCCTCCTGGAGAAGCAACTGTGGTAATGTATTATACAATTTTATTGTGTACAGATTGGATGACGATCATAGTAATAAAAATCTAGACGGGCATGGAGACGATGTATTTGTGAGTCTCGATGCGTTTGATATGCTTACTGACTTCCAAGAACTTGATATCCTAGAACATGCAACGCAACATGCTTCAAGTATGCATCTATCATACTTACTATCATACCTCTCTTAATATTTTGTACCAATTGTTAATTAAATGTATAATAATGTTTCACAGATTTGGTTACGGAAATAGGAACAAATGCAGCGGATATGCAGCCACACGGGCAACCACAATTAGACATGGACGTACTACAAATAACTGATTACTGTCCTGAATGGGCATTTCCTGAGGTTTGAGGAGGTTAATTATGTTAGGTATAAACTATTTTATTTGACTATATTTATAAATATAGGGAGGCGTTAAGGTACTAATCACGGGACCTTGGTTTTCTTCCTCTTCATACACTGTTATGTTTGATACGATCACAGTTCCAAGCACTTTGATTCAAGGAGGTGTCTTACGATGTTACTGTCCAGGTAAATTATTACTATTACGTATTAAAATAAATAAATAATATATCAAAATAATATTTCTATAATACTAAAACAATCCAAGCAATAATAGTACGTACTTATGTATATAATAGAAAAACCAAGTACAAGAAGGTTATATTTGAAGGAGATATTTAGAATAACAGAAAAACAGCGCAAACTCACACAGTGGATATTTCTACATGTTTTCCTGCAGATAAATTTTCTAATAATAAAACATTTTTTTAAAATATACTCCATTTTGAATGAAGTTTCTCCTGCTTAAAGTGTTGTGAACTCCTGAATAATATAATATTATATTATGTTCTCATATAATTTAATATTAACAGTTGTATAAGAATAGTGGGTTGGTTGACGGCTCGTCGACTAGGCGATTCAGCATCCGGCTGAACCGCAGGCCGACACACAGGGAGGAAGTTAGTAGTATTAGAACAGAGCATTATACATAACATATGTTTAAGAAGAGTATTTTTTATTTCTTGTATAATTAGTAGTTTGTATAATAAGTTAAAACCAGTAATAAAACTTATACCGTTAAATTATTTGTTTTGTAACCACGGTTTCATAACAATAGCGTAAGAAATAATATTTGTGAATTTTCTATTATAAAAACCGATTAATTGGTTTGACACTAAATATATTCATATGGATAGTTAGGTACATTCCTAAAATTAAATCACAATTTATTGATTAGGTAAAAAAGTTGATCATTCAGTAAAATTGAATTAAACAAAAAAAAATCACACAACAATTTATTCAGTTATGCCTTCAATACTGACGGAAATATTATTATTAAAATTTCTAGTACTCGTAATTTATTTTTTAAGTGAGATTTAATGAAAGTTAGATTAAAAACAAATATATTTTGTTCTGCAGCTCATGATATAGGCACCGTTACATTGCAAGTAGTCATTGATGGCAGGCCAGTATCTACCACCGCGATATTTGAATACCGTCAACATGAATTCCCACTAACTATTTCCTCATTATCAATGTCACATACACCATCCCTACTCAAGTTTCATTTGTTACAAAAACTTGACTCCATCGAAGATTACTTACAGCAGCCGAGCAATCAACAAACAGACCAACCATTAGTATATATTCTAATATTTACTGTTAACAATTATTTAGGTTGAGTTAATAAGTTTTTTTTTTTTGTTTAGAAAGATAGTATCGTTATGTTTAGCAAGCCCAACTTTGAAGATCAGCTTGTAAATTATTGTGAAAAAATGAAACAGTTTTCGTGGAAATCTGAATCTGAATGTAACGTTAAGCAATTAGAAACCGAAACCACTATTTTACATATGGCTGCTTTTTTGGGATATTCTAAGTAAGATTAAGCAATATAATTAACAACGACTAAAAGTTTTTCAATTAATCTTTCTAACTTTCTTGATTTGGTTTTAGACTTGTGTGCATACTACTTCAATGGAAATTAGAAAACGTGTCACAGTTTTTGGAAATGGAAGTCAATGTTTCAAAACAAGATCGTGAAGGATATACGCCACTGGTAATAACATACTAGTGATGAACTAATAAAATTTTCTAATGATTACATTAAAATTACATTTTTCTAGATGTGGGCTTGTAAAAAAGGACACAAAGATACAGCAGTTTTACTGTGTCAGTGGTATCAAACTGTTCAAAATTCAAATAACAATTTTAATCAGGATTACTCTCAACCCGATATATTAGAATCCGTTCATCAGTGTATGAAACAAAACAAAAATATTTTTATTTTAGCGAGATATACATATGCAGTATGACATGTTTTTATTATAATCATTACAGATTTCAACGATTTCAATCAAAATCAGTACTGCACCAATGACAATTCAAGTAACGATGTATTTTTAAGGCCCGATGGAATCAATAGGTATAAAACAAATATTAAATCTAGATAGTCTTATTATTTATTCACATACAATATCATGTTTTTTAGTGACGTTAAGAAAGAAATTAATCAAACCACCGATGAGCCAAATAATCCAATACCACCGCCTAATAAATCTGTTACCATATTATGTAATTCCTTTGTTTATATTATATTTTTCTACTAACCATATATTTTATATTTTAAATAATTAATTTAAATTGTATAACTATTCGTATAAGGTTCAAAAGGGGAAACCAAACCAGATAAAAACGAAATAAAACCACAAGAAACTCAAGGTTCCAAAAGACCATTACCCAATAGCTTCTTCCAAACGGATGACTATTACGATCAATTTTGCAAACCATCACTCTATTTCCCATCTATTCAAAAGTAAATATTATATCTTAGTTTGAATTTTATAATATTATATAATAATTAAAAATTGAGTGTAAGTTGTTTATCGTTCACGTTTAATAATCAGTAAGTCGTATATAATATTTCTTATGTATAGGTTCCAAAAGAGTTTGTTTCTTCCACTACAATCTCCTACATCGGATAGCGGAAATTCGTCCGAAAAATCACCAGTATTAACAAAGTCTGATTTTATAATTTGTAAGTATATCATTTGCTTTGTTATTTTAAATTTATTATAATATATTATTATATTATTACGAATTAGACTTCAAAATTTCGCTTTCGTCAATAATATAATATGATATTACTGTATACAGTTCAATTATTACTTAAATAATATTATGGTTATTATTATTATTATTACTTATTACTATTATTATTATTATTACTTATTACTATTATTATTATTATTACTATTATTATTATTATTGTGGCATAATCGACATTTAGAAAATATGTTAATATGACGTAATATTGTTATTATGTAAACGTAGGTGAGTAGGTGACGTAAATATTATGTTTTCGGCGTATTTATTATTATTATTATTATTTTAACCGTATTTAATCGTCACACGTTGACAATACCGTTATATACAAATAGCTGTATATTAATTGTAGAGTAATTATACTATTATTTTATACGCGTCATAATAATAATATGTAGATAAACATAATATGACATTAGTTACAATATTATTGAATCGAGAATTCACAATATTTGCTATTCGGGTATTTTATGTTCAGAGATCGTATTGCAGGGCATACTTACAAGAATTGTGTTTGTTTGTTTTGTTTATTATTTGTTTATAATTATTATAATTATTAATTTTTTTTAACGTTAAGAATTAGTTACCTACCCGCAATTGCCCATGTCACCGGGGTGCACAATCACGTTATCGTATAAATAATATCAAAACGGGCCAATCAGGCGACGGGGATTTATCGTCTCCCAACCACTGTAGGAGGCCAGATGGTTTTTTTTTTATTTTATTTCTCCCCGTTTTTTCTTTCTACATTATTTTTTATGCGTTCGATAGCTTTTATTTTTATTAGCTTGTTACGGTAGAATTTGATTGGCTGACCGTTAGGCATGGTAACCGCGCTGGCCGATGGACCGGCGGACGGAGCCGTGGGTAGTGAGAACGATGGCAATGGTAACACGCGATCCGACGAACGTCAGAACGATGAACGAATCGAAGACGCTGTTCAAACGCCCAAAGATCCCGCTGAACACGGTATGAACACTATACACTACAGTATATTTTTACACTGTGTTATTACGATTTTAAAATAGATGATTGTGTACATATTATTATGTAATATGCATACATATTATTATATGTGTTACGGGTGGATCGCGAAGTGCACGTGTGACGTTTGGCCATCGGGCAATCACTTGGATCGGGTTAAGGGTTTTAACCTATTGTGGTACTCATGGACCCCTTCAAAATACTTAGTATGACAAATTAGTATGTCAAAATTCGATATTTAAATAAACCCAACAGATAAAAGTGTATTGATATTTATAGAAAAAAAAACTAAAGAAGAAATTTTGTATTACATTTTAATATCTTAGATTTAAAAAGAAAAAATTTTACAAATTCTTAACTCAAAATAATTTGGTAATTTTCATGATTTTTCCATGTTTTGTCAATTTTTGAACTTTAAATGATTATAAAAAAAACTGTGACTAAGAATTTTTAATATTTTTCATCTGCCTTTGAAACAATATACTAGGAGTCTTCTATAACAATTTCAAGCTTTTTTAACCAACAAATAAAACTTTATTGATATTTTTAGAAAAAAAAACAAAAAAAAAATGGAAAATGAAAATGTAAACAGCTCAAAACAAATAATAATAATTTGAACATTTTATCGCGTATAGAAAACTCTAATATAAACATTCAATAAAAATGTCATGTATCTACGGTCATTTGTTTAAGAGTTGCACCAAAAACCAAAATCGATTTTTTCGAAAACAGATTTTGTGTAAAAATTCCTTAATTTTTCTTTTGTTTTTTAACAGAATTTTAAAACCACTGGAAAATTGATACTTTTGACCTCCCAAAGTACCAACTAGATTCACTTTCCTATCAGAAAAGATACTGTTGAAGAAAATCCAACCACTTTTACAGTCCTAAAAGGTGATGACAGACACAAAAATTAAAAATTAAAAAAAAACACATCATTGTAAAATCAATACATTCATCGTTCCACTCAGAATCTAAAATATAAATTACCTAGGTACCTATAATGAATTAGTAATATAAAAAGAAAGATGATTAATACAAAATTAGAAGAAGTTAAATTGTAATTACAACAATTTAAACTGAGAAATGGTGAGTCATTAAATAGTATGAGCTATTTCAAAAAACTGTTTTTGGGTCATTTGAAAAAAATCTAAAAAAACTCTGTGGACCCACTAGTTAGCATCTTTAGAATTACTAGTCCCTAAGGTCCATCGACCATCAGTTAAGAAACCCCGGATTAGGTACTGTGATATTTTTTATATTTATTAGTCATTAGTAAATTATAGAGTAATAATTATAGTAATTCACATTACCATAAACATCGATCGGAAACGGGGATGGTTTGGTGACTTAAAATGGGAGGGGTATAAGAATAAGAATATAAATTAAAATCAGCTATCGGTGGTATAAAAGAAACTTTGTCATTGATAAGTATGAGTACCTAGGAGTTAGGACTTCAACAACGATAAAAACGAGGGAAAGATTAACCTAAAATCCGTATTGATTGTAATTACAATTTATGTTTCTTTGCATATCGAACAAATCACTGTGACTTGACAACCTCAGTGAATGAAAACTTTGGAATCCGGTATCAAATTTACTAAGTACTTTTTTAAGATTAGTATTATGTGTGACTTACAACACACATTTACCATATTTTAATATGCTATAAGATCATAATACCTCTTAAAATAATACTTATTATAATACCCTATTCCTAAGTGTATCTGACATTTTATTTCTTATCATATTTGATTCGATCGCACCATATGTGAGTTGTGACCACAATTTTCAGAAATTGAACCTAAAATACCATCATTAGATATTTAAATATGGCGCTTTTTCAGTCCTTTTTTTTCTATATACAACACAATAATATGTTTAAAAATCATAACAATTATTGACTTCTGGCTTCATTTACTGCATTTAATCGCAGTGACTTACAAATTGTATTCTATTTTTGTACAATACAGTTGTAACGTTATATTTGGCTGTACATTAATATTATTTTTTTTTTTTTTTTTTTTATAATTTTTTATTTACAATCTGTTACAATAAAAATATGAACAATAAGTAAAATAGATAATTGAATGAATAAGTGGCTTGAGGAAAGGACGGATTTAAGAAGCCTTCCAGTGAAGACACTTTGTCAGCTGTTTATATACATTTCAATAAGTTGACAATTAGTTATAAATAGAAATAAAGATTAGATAATTAACTAAATTAATAGGTCCCGACACCACCGCCTTTTTAGTCTTTTCCTAGGATTGTCGGGTATGTTTCCCGACGCAAGTCCTTTAATTAGGGGATTATCATGGTTTTTAACAGATAAGTTAAATCGTCTATAAAAAGTTCTAGCTACATCACAGACGGGTGAGATGGCAAGATCGTTATGTAAGGTCTGGTTGGACACGTAGAAAGGTGCTTTAGTTATGGCTCGGAGCGTTTGGGATTGGAAGCGTTGGATACGGTTAGTGTTTGTAATTTTTGCAGAGCCCCATAATTGAATTCCGTACGTCCACATTGGTTTAAGATAAAGTTTATATATTAGAAGCTTGGTTGGTAGTTTTATGTGTTTGGAGGTTAGGAGATAGCGGAGAAGACGAAATCGATTGTTTAAGGATAGCAGTTTGCTGCGAAGATGAGGAGACCATGTGAGGCGTTGATCAATGATTATGCCTAGATAGCGAGTGCTCTGCGCGGTTGGCAAGATTTGCTCATTTAAGGTAATAGATGGGCATATTCCCTTCCTAAAAGTGAAGGTACATTGTATAGATTTAGATTCGTTTATTTTCACACCCCACTCCTTATACCATTTTTCGAGGAGGGATAGGTGTTCTTGGATATGCGAGGAAGCAATGGATGGAAATATTATTTTAAATCATTTAAAATTTTAAAACAAATCAATTCTCATTTAATTTAAACCATATGACCAAATTGATAATACAAATCAAAAACATTAGTGGATTTCTCCAGATACAATCAACGAGCCTAACCTATCACCGAGTTCGGGGCATTGCATGATCTGCCTGTAACATGTAAATAATATCATATTATGTGAATGTGTAAAACGTCATAATGAAATATAATTACAACATATGTGCGTATGAAACAAACGTCCACTGCAGTATTTTCACACCGTTCTTAATAGGCATTAGGCATTTTATTTTCATTTTTTTGTTAGAATGTTTTATTGAATTGCACCATAATATTAGGTTATATTGATACGATGTTGTTTCTCGTTGAGATATATATATATATATTATTTTAATATAGAACTGAAGGTCGTCATGATTTATCATGTTGTATGCGTGTAGATTATAATTACTGTTTTGTATAGTAATAAAAATATTCATTGCGATTTATTCTTTCTCTACGATGTACGTGTAAGTATAACAATGTCGCAGTGGCCAGGTAAGCATATCAACTATAAAATACTATATTATATTAAATACTTTGAAAGCACAACAACAATATTTCGATCGATACGTTTTGTTTTATTTTGTATAATATCAATCATAATAAATAGTTTGTTTTGCTATTTTTTTTTGCAGGGGAACACGATGTTCGTGTTTTAACATTAGCCGAACAATTCATAGCGGCTATGCCTGATCATATTAAGGTACCTACTTAAACTTAACACAATAAATAAAACTGCATTTTTAAAAAAAAATTTATTTTGGTTTTAAATACATTTTCAAGTACTATACATATTTAATAGGTACAATTATTTTTACAGAAATCGTAAAAACGTCTACACAAATATTATAATATTTGCATATTACATATTATTTTGTAAATATAGGTACTAAGTAGTTTTTTTTATTTCAAAAACACCAGTCATAATATTGTATATGAATATTAATGTGTATAGAGGTTATACCTAACACGATACATAAAATTATACAATTTTTAAATTTTAATATCTGCACTACTTGATTTTTATTAATATGAACATCGATCGAATAAACGATTTAAGGCTGAATATGCGTTATCAACGTTATTGTAATATCCTAAATTAATTGTTGTGTTTACGATTAGAATGAAAACGGATCACATGGTAAAATTGTAGAATCATCAATTATTACAATGGAAGTGCTCGACGATCCTCCGTCATCTGTGTCGTCATGTTGTTTTGATACCAACTCTGAAATGAACACGGAATTCAATGAACATGTTTATCATTATCGGTAATGTACTATCCTTGTATACATAATAAAATACTGCTATCCATAATATCAATCAACTTAATTATTGAGTATTGACATTTGACCGACATAGAGTACCGGGGCAGTCATATTATATTTCTTACACTTTGACTTTTACAACCACTTGTAATTTTTTTCGTACCCACTTTAAGCTATAAGGTCAATTTTCCCATAATACCTACCAATATAATGATATATTTTTTGATTCATTTTAAATTTAAATTTATGATGAAACAGAGTTTTGCATTGAAAATGTCGGTACATCATTAACAAACCATTTTGGATATTTCATAAGTAGGATTAGTTAAAATACATCAAAGCACGGCACATATGATTAGTGAACAAGTACCTATAATTAATAAGTACACGGTTTTATATATATGTTCCGATGTTAATTTCACGTGGATACGTGAAATAGGGAGCTCCATTAATTATTAAAGTGAAATAAATAAACATGTCTGTAACCGAGGGTGAATAAAATTTTAATAATTTTTTGTAATTGAATTGAGATTGGAGTAATCAGCAATATTTTTTTAATATTTTTATGATATAATTATAATTTGATTTAAAATGTAAAAATAAATGATTATCTACAAGACATCTACAGTACTTTGTATGACTGCAGTGCTTATAAACACCAAGACCGTTTGCATATAATTTTACATGACATCACGTTTATAAAGGCCAGTATTGAAAACTTCAAACCTATATTATCCGAAATGTATTGTTTCTTCGGTTAATTTACCGATTTTCCACAAAGCAAATCCTAAAGACGTTTTCACCCTATTAACCCTCCACCACACAGACTTTAAAACATAGTGCTATAGTAATAATCTTCCCAACAACTATTCACCCCTAGGTGAATGTATAATGACAATAAATATCAAAAATTAGCAAATACCCATACATGTAATATTATTAATTCAATCCACGCATAAATTCACTTTTGCTAAACGGCTGTCCAATATACGGTATAAGTATATTATATACCTAACAAAACATGTAATTGGGGTAAACAAAAAAATACCGAAACTGGATGCACTCAGTCTGATGAAGAAAACGTGTTTTAATTTAATTATATTTTATCCAGGCAAAAAGATCGAGAAATAGAAACACCCACCTCCAGCACCAGTTTAACCTTAAGTCCAGTGTCGAGTGCATCACAATGTTCGCCCGCATCACCACCACCGACTGCTGCAGATCTATGTGAATTTCTCCATGCTTCGTCAAACAATCAATATTTTGAAAAGAATTTTTCGAACCTTACACTGTCCGGTGAGCGTTGTATTAGAATTAAAAATTCAACGAATAAACAAAACCCATTTTGACTGAAATATTATCCAATGCGTATAGATTACGAACAACGGGAATTATATGAGGCGGCCAAGACTATTCAGAAGGCGTACAGAACGTACAAAAAAAGAGAAGAGGATAAAGAAATTTCAGCTGCTTCGGTCATTCAAAATTATTATCGCCGTTACAAACAGGTTAGATGACTGATAAAAATAGACTAAATGGAATAATCTCGTTCTAAAAATGTCCTATTTTATAAAAGTTAAACTCAATTCACTGTAGGCAAAATTAATAATTTATTAGTTATTTAGTAACTAAATCGTATGTTTTTCTCACCAGTATGCATATTACAAGCAGATGACAAAAGCTGCTATTCTAATTCAAAATCAGTACCGTATATACAGAAGACATAAGCGGTTTAAAAAAGAAACTCCTTGTTACACTAATAACACGTTCACTGTTATTAAGTAAGTATGAGTAAATTGTGTACCTACACTTCAATAGATTCAAAAATATATTGCAACTTTTAACAAATGTTTTGATTTATTCATCGTTGTATTAATTTATAATCGTTATCATTTTTAACTGATATATTCATCTGACCTATATGCTTTAATAATTATTATTAAAACTATCATACAAAATAATTTGTTTTCTTTAAAACTAGGTATATTATTATGCCTTAACACTAATTATCTACTTAATGATTATATTAAATAGTTAGTTAACATTTTTTGTTTCACTTGCTATTTTAGAAAAAATCAAAATCAAAAACGTCAAAACCAAGCAGCTCGAAAAATTCAACAATTTATGCGACAGTCCAAGCATGGGTAGGTGTAAAGTAATTGTTGTTCGTTAAGACTGAAGTTGTGTTATAATAGTTATATAAAGTGTTATATTACTGTAAACACATATCGTTTTAATAGATATTAATATGATATAAAGGAAATAATACTTAACTCCTTATTACCACACGTATAATTTTTCAATTAAACTAAATGTTTAAATTATTTATTTACAGTACGTCTCCTCCTGCCACTGTAAGTCAAATCATATAATGCGTCTCGTAATAAAGCTACATAATATACAACCCTGGATCACCGTGTTCGTGGTGGACTCAGGGTCCAGATAAATTAATTGTAATATTATTGGACTTGATTTTTGCTTTAAATTTAAAAATTAAAAACACGATTCTCGTCTGCATTTTAACAGTCATATTTTTTTTATTATTATTATTCTTGAGCTTTAAATTAGGTACTTCCAAGTCCACCGGGACATCGTGATCCATTTCAAATAATTACCATCTGGTATTACTATATTTTGTGCTTTCCACGTTTTACCTAAACATGGCAATATAATTTATGTCACTTTCAACTCTATATTTTAATTGCCCAATTGTTTTAATGACCCTTTTCAGATCAACGAACGCACTTTTGGATCTCGTAAGCGAGAAGCTAATGGTAATCACAATATGAAATATCCTCCGACAAAAGTGGCCCAATACTCGACACTCAACCACAACTGATGTCTGACGTTGCACCACTATTATAATATTATTATTATGATCTAATTTAATGTTATTGCGTTATTGTAAAATATTATTTACCGTAGAGTCTTAGACTACCTAGGTATATCAGCTGTAGTAGTTAGTTTCTTATTGTAAGCGTTTTGATTGTTTAGTACCCACGTACCTATAATAGGTTTATTCCAAACAGATGTGAAGACATCGTCGACGTGTTTAAGCTGCAAACAAACACTTACCTGTTGGCCATTCACTATAGTTATAGGTACCACATTAAAAAAGGCACATTATAGTTATTAAAAATATGTACATTATGTCAAAGACGTCAGCAGTCGTTCGTCTTGGAACCAGTGTGGTTCGACCCCCGTATACGCGTACCTAGGTATATAATATTATACCGCAATCGTATTGATTGGTACCTACCTATATAATACTATAATATATGCACATAATATTATTCTGTTTTGCGTACACCGCCTTATTCGATGTACTTTATTTTACCGTTTATAATATTATTATGTTGTCTATTATTATCAACCCGATTTTATTTTAATATTGTTCGACATTTACGTCATCATAATATTGTAATATTTATATACTATTATGTAGTTATTTTTATACACACACACTGATATTTTATGAACATTTGACGAACTCGCGACGGATTCAAAATATATAGACGTTTTACTGGGGGCAGAGATGATTATTGTTATTACTATTATTACTATATATTATAATATTATATTATGTATTACACAAATGTACCTACATTACATTTGTCCATAATGTTGTCAATCATTATCATGTATACGAAAATACAGGCTCAATAATACATCAAACCATAGCGAATAGGCGTACGGGAACGGTACACATTATATAGAATTTCTGTAATATTATTATTATGTGGTGTCCAACAACTTACTGAGTAGGTATATAGCGATGATGGACCGATTTGTCCTTAAACCAATGACGGTATCATAAGATAGGTAGGGGGACCACGTGGTGAACGTACAGATTTGGATTTTGTTTTGAGTTATTAAAAACAAGAGTAATATTGTGTTCGTCTTTTGTGAAAATACAAAATATACTAAATTCCTTGCGACGACAACAACAACAGCAAAGTCCAATGAATGATTAAGTTTCGACTAGGATGTTTGCACCGCACGTGCTCCACTTACAGTGACCAATAAGTCGTTTTTCTCTTCATAATTTATCGACTTTAATGTGTTATAGTACGTCGTATGCGTACTTCTTGTATACTTTTTTTTCGTTTATGACTAATCATATTAAATTATAAGCGCGTTTGTTATGATAATAATATATTAAATATATTATGATGCGACGCAATCATAACTCCCTATAAACATTTATGAACACAATTTTTCTTCAAATTTGGTCAACACACTGGATTCGTTTATTCATTCAAAACAATAATAATCATCTCTTATAGAACCGATGCGTATGCTGATGAATATTGTTAGGGAAAATCTTGTCGATATTAATATTGTCACCATATCCCGGACAGGAAACGGACAGTCTTATTAGAGCACAGATTTGAGCATAAATACCTTCTTTTGCGACCGGGTATGAAATCAAAAATACTCAATCACAACTATAAGTCAACTGAATGCCATTCATAACCACTATAATATTATTATACTTATTTGTGTTTCCTTAAACATTTTTCTCGTTCATACACTAAAAACTGTTCAGTACCACCGAATTGTATCCACTAGACTGTATCGGGTGCCGTTTAGAAACTAGATGAATAATAAATAGACTCAATTGTTGTTGTACCTTGTACATATGCAATATTATTCCGCGTGACATTTGATAATATTTCCAAAGAGAAAATGTCTATCTTTATGTTTTTTTTCAAAGATTTTGTTTCTATAAACACTCCGGAAATTATAGATTCAATTGTTTGATTTGCTACGGCCAAATGCTCTAAATAACAATGATAATATCGATCACATAGTTGCTAAAGAAAAGTATACCTTCTGTACGACCCGATTGAGCACAGATCCCATAAAAAATACAACAAGGTTGGGCACAAAAATACTTACCAACAAATTACAATAAGTAGGTACATACATATGTTTTAGCACTTACAAATCAATAGTTTATACAAATTTCTGACAAATTTTTAATTTAATATTGTGTAAGTTGATTTCAAATTTGAAAACTGTATACCAAAATTAAAAATTAAAATGATTTCTAGTTGACATTTGTAAATTTTAATTGGTTCTCCTAAATTCTAAATAATTACTGCCCAAAATGCCAATTATAAATAATTGATTTAGTACCAAAATATATTTTTTTACCGTTGACTGGATTAATTAGTAATTGGTATATATTTTTTTTTCAATAAAAATAATTCTTTGAAAATATTCAATACAATTGACCGTAGATATTTTGATCATTGGCAGAGTGTTTCATAAAACCATAATTACCGAGGTTTCTTAAAAAAATTCTAATTGTATTATATTTTCTATACCTATATGTATTGTTTATTATTCCTATATGGAAGCTTTTGCTTGTAAACATTTTTACTACGTCCTAAATTGTTATTAAATGTTTAAAAAAATTCATCTTCAATTTGACAATGCTGCATAATATAATGAATAATAATAATTACTTGTGCTCCAATCGGGTTGTCGGAAAGGTTGCTGAAAAAATTACAGTAGTCAATCTGGTCTTACCTCGATAGTATAGGTACATTGAACATTCAGTGGTCGCTAATCGCTGTAACGCGTAATGTGTTGACTATTCTGGGCCTTAATATTAATTTAATTACTAACACGTGTTGATAAACGATCTAGAGCAACGGTTAGATAGGTACTGTATCTAAAGAAAACATTTTTTTTTTTTTTTTTTAATGATTTAACTTATTAACATAGGAAAGTGTATTTATAGTCTTCCTCTTTTTTCTAACTAATCATTGAATCTTCTATCCGTATTATTTTTCTTACTATACTATAAACCACATTGATTCGAATTTAAAAATAATTATATTTTTTCGAAGCACTTACCTACATAATATTAATAGTCTTTATAAATTAAAATTTCAATATTTTATATTAATTCTTAACATTTTTAAAGAATATATTATTATTATTGCCATATTATATGTTTTTGTTCTTTCCTTAACCATAATTCGCTATTTTGTGTTTAATAGACATCATTGGGTAAACTTATTTTTCTATAGTTATATGATTAATGTAACTTAATACGTCCGATAATTATTTACGTATTTATACGATTTTTTAGTGCTGCTCAATTTTAATAACAATAAGATTTTTTTATTATATTCGTGTTTAATATTGTTAAAAATGATTTAATGTATTATTATATTAAAATATTATGATTATTAAAATTATTAATATTACCATAGGTATTATTGTTTTATTTTAGCATTAAAAACTTGAATTTAAGCATTTATTTTAAAACTTTTAGAGTTTAATTCTATTGGTTCATAAACTATATACTACTGTTTTATTTGATCGTGTCTTAATGTTATGAACTTTTTCTCTTGTGTCCAAAATTGTAGTGTTTCAATATGTTTTATGGCATTTTTTGGTTTAATAAATATTTAAGTTAAAAATGAACCGTGTTGTGTATTAGTCCGTGATAGAGGAATCCATTGGTTTTTAAATTAACATGAGGTGGTCTTTACACTCAACTGCAGAAATGCTCTGAGTGTATGTATCAGCCGGTGTTGCTAGTTCCCGGATGGGTGACCACCCAGAATTTTTAGCCACAAATCATTACCACACGTCATACAAACATGTTTCAACCAATCGTTCCAACCGTTCCTCCCCCCTTACGAACAAAAAAACAGCTAATAGCTATATAGTTTCCTGGCTTAAGCTCAATAATAAAAAAAAAGTTATCAAGACTTGCCTGTTATCAGTCATTAATTTACATTTTTCAGCTTGTAGGTCAACTGGACTCAGTACATATTATAATTTTAAAACAGAATTAACACTTAAATTATGTCATGCTGCCATCAAATATCAACTGGAAATTAAAATAAGCGTCTAATATGCATAGTAATTATATTATACAACATTACTATAGCAAAGTATAAGGTTTTTTTCAGTGTAAAGTGAAAATGTATCATACTTATATCAATAGTAATTAGTGTCAACATTCTAAGAGGGAAAAACCTATTTTATAATTTATGCTACACATTTTATCACACAAAATTTTTCTAAATTCTTTTTCTTTTTTTTTTTTTTTTTATTAGTTTACTCCAATACGAGTAGCTTGTGGTATGGAAAATGAGTTACATATGTTTACAAATTTAAAATAGAATTTAAAAATAAAAATAAAAAAAACTGTAAGCTGTTAATATAACATTAAAACTACAAGATTAATTTTCTAAGTAAACTACAACGTTAAGTCCACAAATTAAGATTTTTTATAAAGTTTTTAAATATAATTTTATGTTATTTAAATAACCTAAATTTTTTCCGACTTTTTGAAAAATATTTTTTTTAAGAAGTAAATTTATAGAATTAATCATAGTTGGACCTAGATAATTTATGAAATGTTTACCAATATCTTTTTTTGTGTACAATACATTAATGTCATACGCCCTAATTTCACGTACATTAATAACTTCTTTGCATTCTATTTTTTTAAGCTCGTGTAATATGGCTAATTGCATGTACAGGGACCCGATCGGAAGTACATTAAGTTCAATGTAATTAATTTTCGACGATCCTACTAAATCTTTTTTATTTAGACATAATCTTACCATCAGGTTTTGTTGCACTTTTAATGGTCTCAAAGAGTTATTAGCACAACCTCTCCAAATAATTAAACCATATTGAATGATGGGTTTGTATAAAGCTTGATAAATAGTACTCATCATTTCAGTAGGTATAATTGTATTACATTTGTACATCTTAAAGACAATAGATCTTGAACGCATAACTACATTTTTTATATGGACATTCCAAAGTTATTGGCAGTCTATAATTAAACCCAGATATTTT